CTTGCAGACACAGTTCTATGTAGTATGTGTCCAGTCTACCAGCTATTCCTATCCTCCAAGTCCTCGATACGACTGTACATCATCAAGTTTCATGCAAATTAGGCATGTCTTGTACATCCAGCCAGGAACAGGGTCGTATAATCAGACACTGAAGCTTAGGAATCACTGGTAGACTGAGAGTCACAATACTTACTTTGTATAAAGATAACTAGAAAACATCCATTAGCAGAGTCTCCAACCCTGTAAACTCCAAATGCGGAATGTTCCCGCGGTGATCAGTAACTAGTGGCGTATTCCGAAATTGATGGGGGAGCGAAATGTACCTTGGCTGCCGCAGGCAGGCCCGCGTGCCGTAGGCATGCCAGTGCCAGGGGGTCTGGGGGCGTGCCTCCCCCCCAGAAAATTTTGAAATATTTAAGCCATTTTCCTGCAATCTGAGGCATACTGTGGGCCATATTCTCATGTCTGATAACACTATCTCAACCCTACAACCCTTGTCTGATTAGCAAACAAACTACGCGACAACTTGCAGACAGCGCCTGTCTGATTAGGCTATTCCATTTACCGTAGATATGCCAGATACAAAATGCCGCTGTAGAATGCGGAAATTAAGCCTAGAAATCGTAATGATTCCGCAGAATGAGGAATGGTTGGAGACCCTGAATTAGACATAATTACAAACCAAAAGTTCATCATCTCATCACCAAAAACTCCAAACATATCTGCGAATTTTTTTTAGGAATTTGAATAAAATTGTAGCCCTTTTTTAGGAATTGCATACATTTCTAAAGTTTTTTTTAGGAATTTTAGGGCGAGCTCAAAATTTTAGGAATTTTTAGGAATTTTAGGGCCGCTGGAAAGCCTGATAGTGCTGTATAGTAAGTGTATAGTAGTATATATAATGCTGTATAGTAAGTGTATAGTAGTACATATAGTGCTGTATAGTAAGCATACATATAGCTGCTGTCATAGTAAAGCAGGTGCTCGAAATAGAGCGTTGTCCGGTTGTCCGGAGGACAAGCCAGAATATTTGTGTGGGCTCGGGACAACCGTAGGCCAGGTGTCTGAGACATTGTCGCGGTGACAACCAAGAAAAAAGTTGACCGAAAAAACGCACTTTATTTATCGTTTGTTTCTGCAGGGGTTCTCCATGAGCACGTAGATAGGCCTGGCGCCGGCGCACATTAATCTATGGTGTGGGAAAGCAACGCATACCAGCTGGCCTATTTCCAACACTGTTAAAGTGTCGGTGTTTCTGAAGTTTATGAAGGGTGAACTCGATTGGAACGTGCAGCAAACCACAGAGTCACCCCCGTTACTATTTTGGTATTTTTATTCCTATTATTTTGAATTGTCGATAATGGCTTTGCCCATTCAGAAACAAGAACCAAACCCAATTGGCGCCCGCGGCGCAGTTGGGGATTCATGTTGAGTCCGAAAAGTTCAAATAAAGAGAATTTGTTGTGAAGTCAGCAATGAAGGCTGTACTATGTACTCAAAAGTGCTGCAAATGACCATCTCCTGCGATGCTTACATTTTGCAAAATTCTGGGGAGACCCCCATATCCCCCCGCGCTTGGGTTTTACGCCTCCTTGGAATGCCCAGACGCGCTCACTCCGACAATTTACAATATCTTTGGAGCAGAGCGAACATGAAACATAAATGTCGCGCTTTTCACATGGCACCCAAAACAGAGATTGGCAGAGCAAGGTACGATGAGCTGTAGGGTGTGGAGAAGGAGGCGGAGGAGCCATTAAAAATTAACGTCATCATCTATTTTGCGCAGTTTGCTGTTTTTGCGCACCCTTGTGTTAAAAAGATCCTGGCTACACCACTGGTGTTTGGGGTGTTTTGACCCATCGATTATTATGTGATTTGAAAATAGGGTAGATTTGGGAGTATTTTTTTGGGACAGCCGCGACCAGCAATATGTGTTGTGGGACAACCTGATTTGATGTCTGCAGGTTGTCCGCAGGACCCACCACACGAACTTTTTTGTCGTTATTTCAGAGCACTCGGTCCAAGTGTATCACGTAAGAAGTATATAAAATAATGCTGTATTAAGGTACACCCGTGTGATAGGTGTCATCTGTGTGCTGTATAGTAAGTGTATAGTTAGTATATATACGTGGGCGTTACTGTAAGTGTACTAGTATATATATATCTGTATAGTAAGTGTATATGATAATATATAGTGCTGTATGTAAGTGTGAGTCAACTGTAGTTTTGGGTTAATAGGTGTGATTCCGTAGTATTAAGTGTATTTAGTTAGTGATATATTTTGTAGTGCTGTATAATTTTATTTTATGTTCCTTATCGTAGTGGGCATATTGATTGGTTGCAATCGTGTTCTTTTTTTGTACGTGATGGGTAGTGTATAGTAGTATATGGATTATGTTGATGATAAGTGTATAGTAGTTTATATAGTGCCTGTAAGT